TATTTGAATAATGTAATAAAATAAACATATTATGAATTACCTAACCAATCCAGTTTGTATATTATAGATAATATATAAYCACTTAAACTTAGGTAGATGATACAAATTTTTAAACCTATTTTCAATTTTTTAAAYCTAAGAATTAATGATTTTGTCCAAGGTACATTCATACCACTTTGGAAAGAATGTAATTTTTTCAGACCTTAATACTAATTTTTTGTCTGATATTAATTATAAGACCAARGTACAATACTCTCCCTATCTATGAAGTACACAAATCAAATTAATAAAATAATCAACTCATCAAGTTTGATTCAGTCTGCATATTTAGATCAATATTTTTTCTTAAAAAACTGTCGGCATATGAGAACCATTGTAATTTAGGCTTATATATATCACTTGTCCCAGATCCTGTTCTCATAGATTTGTTTATTTTCGCAACTTCCCGGTTGTACGTACCACGAATACTCCTAATTTTCGCACGAAGTTCTTTGATGTTGGCAAGACAAGACCTGATATGGGTAACAATTGTTCTTCGGCTGCATCTCTTTTTAATCGGTTATGAAAATCTGGTATGGTCTTATTCCACAAACATGGATGTTCTTCATAGCTTTTAAGAGATTCTATAATGTCAAATAGCTTAGAGGACATGACTATTCACTATAATTTATGATATTTAAAATTTAAAATTAACCGATTACACTCTAGTAGACACGTGCTATCACTATGATAACACAATAGATAACACTATGACAGTTTAAATGAACAGTGTTTCCACGATAACAGTCTACGATAGGTGCTGTGATGCAAGCGCGATAGTAATGCCAACTATCTAGCTCAGCCATAGACATAATAAGATCTTATTATGTCTATGAGCTCAGCAGATAGTGTGACAGTACTATCATAGTGTCATGACAGTTACTACCAAATAATTTACACCATGACAGTTCCTTGCCAGTGACTGTCACTGTCGTGACTGCGACTATCAAGGTTTACTGCAGATAACTGCCAATTTTACTGCCATGTAAATGAGCCTTAAACAGTTTGGACATAAAATTATCGCCAAAACGGGTTTTAATAAACTGTTTGCTATTGGTACCTCCGCGAAAACGCGCTTATAGATAGCATTAACTGCTTCTTCTAAGTCCGACGCGTGAATACTAAATAGCCTATGTGAAGTGCGAATCAACAATGGGTAAAGGTCGAGCAGAGCCAGGAACCCCAAAGTATATAGCGAACAAGATCAAGTCAAAAGGATTACAAAAGCTGAGATGGTTTTGTCAGATGTGCAACAAACAGTGTCGCGACGAAAATGGATTCAAATGTCACACAATGTCCGAATCGCATCAACGGCAACTGTTATTGTTTGCAGACAATGCGGGACGTTACCTGAGTGAATTCAGTTATGAATTCTCCAAGGGATTTTTATTCCTGTTGAAACGGCAGTTTGGTACCAAAAGAGTGAAAGCGAACAAAGTTTACCAGGAATACATTTCAGATCGAACCCATCTGCACATGAATGCCACTCAATGGACAACTCTAACTGGATTTGTCAAATGGCTAGGGAAAACAGGTACTTAATCATACATAAATATAAAGTACGTAATGATCTGTATTTACTTTCTTAAAAGTATCTATAAATCTTGAATAGTTTTAATTTTAAATTGTTTTCTCTCTCTCTTTATTCTTTAAATTATTATTATTGTTCATATGAATTTGTGTGGTAATAATTCATTTTAGTACCTACATGTGTTCAGTACTCGGTACTTGTTTTAACATTTAACTTATGTAGTTATGTGGTACTAGTATCCTCCCCCCC